GCAGGGGGCTCAGAGACCTTGGCACAGAGTCAGACACACCTGTGCCTTCGATTTTAGCCCATGGAAAGAATTACCAGCTTTGTGTGAAGATGAACAAGCCACGAGAGTTTGAGTGGAGTGATGGGTAATTTGTCACAGGGTGAAAAAGTAGAATTTTGGGGTTTTAGAATGGGCATTCAAGAGGCAAGATGGAGGGATTTGAGTGTGTCCTGTTCTCCTCCTTTTTCTTGGCCTCCATCTTGTGCTGTGATGGTGGCACTTTGGATTGGTTTGGAGGCAGACTGTCCAACATAGGTGACAGGTATTGGAAAATTATTGTAAATAAAGTACACGTTGTTTTTAGTACAAAAACAACACCCTGAGGGTGGCAGTGTGCCACGAACTCACCTGCTGGACAGAGCTCCGTGGGTCAGGAAAGGAGTGTAAGAGATAAGAGAAAACAAACAACCCTGAAAAGCAGAGCTGAGGGATCTCAGCTTCTTCTTTGGTCACGGGGCTGGGAAAAAAGACTCTTTAACACCTCGGGAGCCATTTCAGCAGCAGCAAACCCGAGAGGGAGGAGAGCAGAGCCCAGGCACCGCGGCCACCCCAGGTGCAGCTGGGCCAGAGGCACAGCCCGCGCCAGGAGCAGCCACCCCGAGACAGGAGACGAGATCCAGGAGCAGAGCAGCTCACTCAGCGAGGGATGAGGAGCAAGAGAGCCCTCCCAGGCCAAAGAAGAGGCAGAGGCAGAGAGAATTCCCTGCTCCCAGGAGTCCTGTTCGATCTGGAAAAGGGTTCAGCCCCTTGGCCTGGCTGCTCCAGCGCTGGGATGCCGAGATACGGAGCTGGACAGAGCAGAGCAGAGGAACTGGGGTCCTGTCCCGATGTGGGCACTGCCAGGGGGGCTGGGAAGAGCACAGAGACCCCCAGCCCCTGCAGAGACCCCTGGCAAGAGTGAGGGAAAGGTGTTCCCTCCAGGAGTGTCTGAGAGTGAGCCCAGGAAGCTGCAGCACCGAGGAGAGAGGAGTCAGGAGCTGAGGGGTCGGCTGGGCTGGGGGAATGCAGAGTGATGCAGAGAGCTGTGCCTGCAGGGCCGGGGAGCCCAGCCCAGGGTCCAGGCTCTGGAAGGTTCTCTGGGGCAGTACCCAGGGTGGAGCCCAGCCCAGGGTCCAGGCTCCGGAAGGTTCTCTGGGGTAGTTCCCTGGCTGGAGCCCAGGGTCCAGGCTCTGGAAGGTTCTCTGCAGCACTGTCACCGTGCCCCAGCTCCCTGGCAGTGGTGCCAATGGCACCAGCATTGCCTCAGGTGAGTCCCCAACCCTGGCACCATGGAGACCATCTTTGTTCCTCCCCACCGACCTCGGCTGTGGGAGGATGGTCCAAGACCTTGGGCAGAGTCAAAAGGCTCAAAAAATTAGGAAATGTCCCTGTCCCACCAGTATGGCCCAGTCTCTGCTGCTGGGAGCAGCTGCAGCAGAGAGAGGGGACACCCCAGGATGTCACCTGTGGTGTCACCTGAGTGACACAGAGAGGACTGGAGGCCCTGGCACCTCGGCTGGTGTTTACAGAAGTCTCAGGTTTAGCTGGGTGTGTGTTCAATTCCCATCTGTCCGAGCTGGGGCATTATCTACTGCTCATTGGGCAGCTTTCCTAATTTCTGACGCAGCCAATCCTCCCTCCAGGAGATATCTCCTGTTAATGGGCCATTAATTATTATCTTCTGTTCATGGGACATTAATTATTAATTATCTTCTATCCATGGCCAGTGAGTGTCCCCACGTGGCTGAAATTCGATCATCCCACTGGGAGATGCTCCACCCAGGGGAGGAGCCAAGCATTCCTGCCTGGATATAACCTGAGATTTCAAATATTCCTGTCTGGATAGAATCTGAGATTTCAAACATTTCTGCCTGGACACAATCTGAGATTTCAAACATTCCTGCCTGGATAGAATCTGAGATTTCAAACATTCCTGCCTGGACACAATCTGAGATTTCAAACATTCCTACCTGGATAGAATCTGAGTACCAGGAGCAAGAACCTCTTCCTCTTAACTTGGGTTTTCTCTGTAAAGACTTTTGTTATTTTGCCTTTTATTAAAACTTTTCTGTTTCCAACACCACCACAGAAGCCATTGTGCTGATTTTATGTCATCTAAGGTGGCTGAGCTATCTCGGGTGTGATACAGATCCCCAAGAGCCTGTGAGACCTGGCTGGAGCAGACTCCTCTCCTGTATCAGCGCTGAAAGAACTGAGGGGGACAGGGGGGCTCATTCCAAGAATGGGTCATGGATACCCGGGCCAGAGAGCCCGAGATGGGGAGGGGGTGGCACATTCCCTTTGGGATGGAGAGGGGGGTTCACATTCCCCTGGGGATAGGGAGGGGTGCCACATTCCCTTTGGAATGGTGAGGGGGTGTTCCCATCGGAGGGGGTGTCACATTCCCTGCCAGGCACTGGCCCTGGGGAGCTGGAATGTGCAAGGGGCTGAACAAAGCACCCTGAGGGCAAAGCCGGGCACCTTGCACCACTGGCACCTGCAGCCAGTGAAGGTCACCTGGGCAGGGAGCACCTGAGGCTGCACCGGGGGACAGCCCTGCCCGGTGGAGCCCCCCGGGGCTGCAGAAGGGAACAAAGCCCCCGTGGTGCACGCCAGGAACTGCCAGGGAAGGGTTTGGATCGGCCCCGCCTCAGGAAAAGGCAAACCCATCCCTGGGATTGCTTCTGCCCACGGGCCTGGGGGCACTTGGGGGGAGAGGCAGAGGACAGGGGACACAAATGTCCCTGAGGGAACCTGGGTGGGGTGTGGATGGTGCAGAAAAAGGGGAGAGTGCAGGGTGTGGGATAAGGAATGGGGTGGATGGAGTAAAATACAGGATGAATGCAAGGTTTAGGATGAGGAATGGTGTGGATGGAGTAAAATAAAGGATGAGTGCAGGGTGTGGGATAAGGAATGGGGTGGATGGAGTAAAATACAGGATGAATGCAAGGTTTAGGATGAGGAATGGTGTGGATGGAGTAAAATAAAGCATGAGTGCAGGGTGTGGGATAAGGAATGGTGTGGATGGATAAAGGGTGAGTGCAAGGTGTGGAGTAAGGAATGGTGTGGATGGATAAAGGGTGAGTGCAAGGTATAGGATAAGGAATTGAGTGGATGGAGTAAAATAAAGGGTAAATGCAAGGTTTGGGATAAGGAATGGTGTGGATGGAGTAAAATAAAGCATGAGTGCAGGGTGTGGGATAAGGAATGGTGTGGATGCTGTAAAATAAAGGGTAAATGCAAGCTGAGGGATAAGGAATGGTGTGGATGGATAAAGTAAAGGGTAAATGCAAGGTTTGGGATGAAAAATGGTGTGGACAGTGTAGAATAAAGGATGAGTGTAAGGTTTGGGATAATGAATGACATAGATGGTGCAGAAAAAAGGGGAAGTGCAAGCTGTGGGATAAGGCATGGTGTGGATGGTGTAGAATAAAGGATGAATGCAAGGTTTAGGATAAGGAATGGTGTGGATGGAGTAAAATAAAGGGTAAATGCAAGCTGTGGGATAAGGCATGGTGTGGATGGTGTAGAATAAAGGATGAATGCAAGGTTTAGGATAAGGAATGGTGTGGATGGTGTAGAATAAAGGATGAGTGCAAGGTTTAGGATAAGGAATGCTGTGGATGGTGGTAAGGGTGAGTGCATGGTGTGGGATAGGGAATGACATGGATCGTGCAGAAAAAAGGATGAGTGTAAGGCTTGGCATAAGGAACCATGTGGACAGTGTAGAACAAAGGGTGAGTGCAAAGTTTGGGATAAAGAATGGTGTGGATGGAGTAAAATAAAGGGTAAAGGCAAGGTTTAGGATAAGGAATGGTGTGGATGGAGTAAAATAAAGGATAAAGGCAAGGTTTAGCATAAGGAATGGTGTGGATGGTGTAGAATAAAGGGTGGTTGAAAGGTTTAGGATAAGGAATGCTGTGGATGGTGTGCAGTAAGTGGGGGGAATGCCCTGGTTGTGGCCAGGACAGGGTTAATTTCTGCAGCAGTGAGGGGCAGGGCCAGGACCCCCAGGTCCTTACCGATGTGGCAGTTCCCTGTGTTTAAATTCTTTCTCCCCTGACCACTGCTGCCTGTCCAGCCCCCAGCTGGGTTTGGGGTCTGGGGGCACAGAACTGAGGGCACAGCTTGGGGTCACTGACCAAGGAAAGGGAATTAAAGGATCAAAGACCCCCCGTGCCCCCCCCTCACCTTTTCCAGGTGAAATCCCAGGTACAACCTGCAAAGGAGGGCTCCAGGTGTGTCCCACCTGAGCCAGGATCAACCCTGGGGTGCTCCAGCTCTGACACCCCTGGGCCATGGGGGATTTGGGGAGGGATTTGGGGGGATCTGGGGATGAATTTGAGGTGATTTGGAGTAATTTGTGAATGAGTTTGGGGTAATTTTGGGTGGTGAGGGGTAATTTGGGGGAAGATTCAGGGATATTTCAAGTTGATTTTGGGGCCATCCTGAGGAGATCTGGCAGATTTTTGGGGCTGATTTTGGGGTAGTTTGGGGCTGATTTTGGGCATTACCTGGGGGTGGTTTTGAGTGATTTTTGTGTGGTCTTGGGGATGGTTTTGGGGAGATGTTTGGGGTGATTTTGGAGGTGCTGCTCAGTCCTGGGGAAGCTCTGGGGTGATGCTGACCCCCTGCGGATCTGGGATGAATTTGAGGTGATTTGGAGTAATTTGTGAATGAGTTTGGGGTAATTTTGGGTGGTGAGGGGCAATTTGGGGGAAGATTCAGGGATATTTCAAGTTGATTTTGGGGCCATCCTGAGGAGATCTGGCAGATTTTTGGGGCTGATTTTGGGGTAGTTTGGGGCTGATTTTGGGCATTACCTGGGGGTGGTTTTGAGTGATTTTTGTGTGGTCTTGGGGATGGTTTTGGGGAGATGTTTGGGGTGATTTTGAGGTGCTGCTCAGTCCTGGGGAAGCTCTGGGGTGATGCTGACCCCCTGCACTGGCCAGACTGTCACAACTGTCACCTGAGCCAGGACCTGCCACACCTGGATCCCACCCTGGCTTTATTTAAATCAAATCCTTGGTTTTTATTGTCTTTTTTCCTGGTTTTTTGAAACACCTGATGGGCTGAGGCTGGAGGCATCCAGGTCTGAGGGATCTGGGGACCAACCTCCCACACCTGGGCAGATCCCTCACCTGGGCACCTGCCCAGAGCTGCTTCAATCACTTCACATATTCAGCAGAAATTGCCAAATCTTTGCTTTTCGCCCCAAAAACGCAGCAATGTCCCCTCCCCTCCCCCCTCCACCCCGAGTTATTCCTTTATCCTCCAATTTTCCATAATTAAATCTGGATCTGGAATTCTTGATGACCTCAGGAGATCACTTCACACCTGCAGCCACCTGCAGGCAGCACCCATCCCAGGTGGGTGCACACCTGGTGCCCCAGAGCTCCAGCAGTGGAGCATCCTGTCCATGCCAGGAGTCACCTGTGGGACCAGCTGACCACACCTGGGGGCTCTCCAGAGGGTTTCCAGGTGTTCCCTGCGAGGGGGGCGGCCAGGTAACAACACCTGGGGGGTTCCCAGATCTCTGCTGTGTCCTCCTGCTGGGAGTGGGGGGGGGGTCTCCAGGTGTGCTGAGAGGCTGCAGGTGCTCCTCACCTGTCCCTCACCTGGCCCCTACTTCAGGATGATGTGGTAGCTGTCGTTGGTTTCGGCTGCAAAGGAAGCCAAGAACAGTGAGGGGAGGTGGGCTGGGGTGAGCTGCCCCAGGTGAGGCCCCAACGCCCAGGTGCTCACACACCTTTCATGGTGTCCAGGACGAAGCAGGATTCATCCTGGAAGTTCTGGATCATCTGAAAAAAACCCCCAAACAGCACCAAATTAGGGATTTTTTGGGAAGATTTGTGTTCCAGGCGCCCAGGTGGGAGCTTTGGGAGCACCAGGCAGAAAGGTTTCATTCCTTCCCTGGGCCCCTCCCAGCCTGGCAGGGTGCTGCTGTCCCCAGTGGCCGTGCCAGGCGTGCCCGTGGGCCGTTACCTCGTCGCTGACCAGCACGTGGATGCCCGTGGGGCCCTGTTTGTAGATGTGCTGGATGTGCTGGGCGGGCACCCGGAACAGCTGTGCCAGCTTCTCCGCCAGCTCGGCCGCCCTCAGCTCCTCCAGGTACACGGCGTGGTAAACTGCAGGGGCACGGCCACAGCTGCCAGCTGTGCCAGCACAGCCCCGGGCACAGCTGGGCAGCGCCGAGCTCGGACAGGGACCTGCCTGGCACTGTGACCCGCCTGGCACCGTGTCCTGTCTGTCACCCTGACCTGCCTGGCACCATGACCTGCCTGGCACCGTGTCCTGTCTGTCACCCTGACCTGCCTGGCACCCTGACCTGCCTGGCACCGTGTCCTGCCTGGCACCTGTGACCCACCTGACACCGTGTCCTGTCTGTCACCCTGACCTGGCACCTGTGTCCTGCCTGGTATCATGACCTGTCTGTCACCCCTGTCCTGTCACCCATGTCCTGCTTGGCACAGTGTCCTGTTACTGTGTTCTGCCACCCATGTCCTGTCACCACGTCCTGTCTGTCGCCTGTGACCTGCTTGGCACTGTGTGCTGTTGCCTGTGCCTTGTCTGTCACCTGTGTCCATGACCTGTCTGTCACTGTGTCCTGTCTGTCACCCTGACCTGCCTGGCACCGTGACCCGCCTGACACCTGTGACCTGCCTGGCACCGTGTCCTGTCACCCTGACCTGCCTGGCACTGTGTCCTGTCTGTCACCCTGACCTGGCACCTGTGTCCTGCTTGGCACAGTGTCCTGTTACTGTGTTCTGCCACCCATGTCCTGTCACCACGTCCTGTCTGTCACCTGTGACCTGCTTGGCACTGCGTGCTGTTGCCTGTGCCTTGTCTGTCACCTGTGTCCTACCTGGCACTGTGTCCTGTCTGCCTGTCTGTCACCATGTCCCTCCTGTCTGTCACCATGTCCTGTCTGTCACCATGTCCTTCCTGTCTGTCACCGTGTCCTGTCTGTCACCATGTCCTGTCTGTCACCATGTCCTTCCTGTCTGTCACCGTGTCCTGTCTGTCACCATGTCCTGTCTGTCACCATGTCCTTCCTGTCTGTCACCGTGTCCTGTCTGTCACCATGTCCTGTCTGGCACTGTGACCTGCCTGGCACTGTGATCTGTCTGGCACCCCTGTCCTGTGTGTCACCTGTGTGATCCCTGCTCCCCCAGGTGTGCTCCCTGCCCCCGCAGGTGTGCTCTCTGCCCCCCAGGTGAGTCCCAGCCCCTCCAGGTGAGTCCCTGCCCCCTACACGTGTGCTCCCTGCCCCCGCAGGTGTGCTCTCTGCCCCCCCAGGTGAGTCCCTGCCCCCTACACGTGTGCTCCCTGCCCCCGCAGGTGTGCTCTCTGCCCCCCCAGGTGAGTCCCTGCCCCCTACACGTGTGCTCCCTGCCCCCGCAGGTGTGCTCTCTGCCCCCCCAGGTGAGTCCCTGCCCCCTACACGTGTGCTCCCTGCCCCCGCAGGTGTGCTCTCTGCCCCCCCAGGTGAGTCCCTGCCCCCTACACGTGTGCTCCCTGCCCCCGCAGGTGTGCTCTCTGCCCCCCCAGGTGAGTCCCTGCCCCCTACACGTGTGCTCCCTGCCCCCGCAGGTGTGCTCTCTGCCCCCCCAGGTGAGTCCCTGCCCCCTACACGTGTGCTCCCTGCCCCCGCAGGTGTGCTCTCTGCCCCCCCAGGTGAGTCCCTGCCCCCTACACGTGTGCTCCCTGCCCCCGCAGGTGTGCTCTCTGCCCCCCCAGGTGAGTCCCTGCCCCCTACACGTGTGCTCCCTGCCCCCGCAGGTGTGCTCTCTGCCCCCCCAGGTGAGTCCCTGCCCCCTACACGTGTGCTCCCTGCCCCCGCAGGTGTGCTCTCTGCCCCCCCAGGTGAGTCCCTGCCCCCTACACGTGTGCTCCCTGCCCCCGCAGGTGTGCTCTCTGCCCCCCCAGGTGAGTCCCTGCCCCCTACACGTGTGCTCCCTGCCCCCGCAGGTGTGCTCTCTGCCCCCCCAGGTGAGTCCCTGCCCCCTACACGTGTGCTCCCTGCCCCCGCAGGTGTGCTCTCTGCCCCCCCAGGTGAGTCCCTGCCCCCTACACGTGTGCTCCCTGCCCCCGCAGGTGTGCTCTCTGCCCCCCCAGGTGAGTCCCTGCCCCCTACACGTGTGCTCCCTGCCCCCGCAGGTGTGCTCTCTGCCCCCCCAGGTGAGTCCCTGCCCCCCTCACCAAAGAAGGTGCCGCTGCTGCCGTCGCCGTCCTCGTGCTCGTGCTGGGGGTCCCTCACCTGCTGCGACTCCTGGCACACGTAGATGGTCAGGCGGGGCCGCACCATCCTGGGACAGGGCAGGGTCACCTGGGGCTGCCCCCCGCCCAGCCCCCCTCCCTGCCAGGGGTCCCCAGGAGGAGCTGCACGAGCCCCAGGTGTGCCCTGGTCAGCATTCCCTGGAATTCCCACCTGGAGGGACTCCCTTTCCCTGTCAGGCACCTGAGGATGCTCCTCAGCCATTCCCACCTGGAGGGGCTCCCTGTCCCTGTCAGGTACCTTGAGGATGCTTCCCTGGAATTCCCACCTGGGCACTCTGTCCCTCTCATCCTCCCAAAAAGCTCCAGGTGTGTTAAACCCCTGGGGCAAGCCCTGCTTTTCAGGGCAAGGTGTGAGGAACATCCCATTTTTGGGAGCTTTCTGGGCAGGTCCCAGGTGGAGACAGCTCCTGGACCACCAGGAGCTCCTGGCTTGGGGCTCCAGTCCTGGATTCTCAAAGCCAAAGAATTCCTAATCCCTAATTCCCAATTTCTAACCCCCAATTCCTAATCCCTAATTCCTAATTCCCAATTCCTAACCCCCAATCCCTAATTTCCAATTGCTCTCTCCTACCTGGACCTCCTTCCCCACACTTCCTCTAAATTCCTGACTTGGATGGGAAAAGGCTGGGCCAGGTGTATCCCAGACCTCCCAGGTGAATCGTGGCCCCTTCAGGTGAATCCCAGCTCTCTCCAGGTGAGTCCATGTGTCCCAGCCCCTCCAGGTGAGTCCCAGCCCCCCCCAGGTGAATCGTGGCCCCCCCAGGTGAATCCCAGCTCTCTCCAGGTGAGTCCCAGCCCGCAGGTGAATCCTGACCCCCCCAGGTGTGTCCCAGCCCCCCCAGGTGTGTCCCAGCCCCCCCAGGTGTGTCCCAGCCCCCCCAGGTGAGTCCCACCTGCCCTTGAGGGCGTTGAAGAGCCGGATGCCGTCGGCGGGGCCGCAGATCTGGATCACATCCTCCCGTGTGAGCTTCAGCAGATCTGCCCCTGCCAAAACCCAAATCCACCCCAAAATCCACCTCAGATTCACCCCAGAGTCACCCCAAATTCATCCCAGATTCATCCCAAATTCACAGCAAAATTCACCCCAAATTCACAGCAAAATTCACCCCAAATTTACAGCAAAATTCACCCCAAATTCACAGCAAAATTCACCCCCAAGTCACCCCAAATTCGCCCCAGAGTCACCCCAAACTCACCCCAGATTCATGCCAAAATTCACCCCAAATTCATCCTAAATTTGCTCCAGTCACCCCAAACTTATCCCAAATTCACAGCAAAATTCATCCCAAATTCACCCACATTCACCCTAAATTATCCTCTGCCCAGAATTGGAATTTTTCTTCTGCTTTTCCTCAGAATCAGCCTTTTCCAGCTTTGCTTTTCCCCAAATTACCATTTTTATTTCTATTTCATATTTTTAATATTTATTTATTTATATTATTATATTTTTTGCTTTGTTTTCCCCAAACCAGTATTTTTAAAATTTCATTTTCCCTAAAATCAGCATATTCCACTTTGTTTTGCCCAAAATTCCTATTTTCCAGCTCACTTTTCCCAGAAATCATCACTTTTCACCCTTTCTCCCCCCAAATCACCATTTTTTTCAGCTTCATTTTCCCCCACATCAGCATTTTCAGCCCAATTTTCCCCAAAATTCACTATTTTCCACCTATTTCCCCCCACATCAGCAATTTTCACCTTGGTTATCCCAAACCCAGAATTTTCCAGCTTTGTTTTCCCCAGATCAGCAATTTTTGCTTTATTTTTTCCCCAATTTGGCATTTTTCAGCTCAGTCTTCCCCAAAATTGCCATTTTCCAAGTTTGCTTTACCCAAAATCAGCATTTTTCACCTCTGTTTTCCACACAATGAGGTTTTCACCTTCATTTTGCCATAACTGCCATTTTCCACCTTTACTTTCCTTAAAATCAGCATTTCCCAGCCCACTTTTGCCTGAATTGAAAATTTTTTTACCTCTATTTTCCCCAAAATTGGCATTTTTAAATTTACTTTCTTGGCATTTTCAGCTGTTTTCCCCAAAATCAGCTTTTCCCCCCAATTTTCAGCCTCGCTGTCCCCAGACCATCCATTTTCACCTCCTTTTCCCAAAATTGCCATTTTCCAGCTCCGTTTTCCCCAAAATCAGCCCCTTGGTGTTACCTGGGCCAGGTGAGGCCTTGGATTGGGTTATGAAAGGAGGGATTTGGGAATGCCCACCTGGCCAGGTGAGGGAGGTGACCCAGCCCAGGTGAGGAAAAGTCACCTGGCCAGGTGAGGGAGGTGACCCAGCCCAGGTGAGGAAAAGTCACCTGGCCAGGTGAGGGAGGTGACCCAGCCCAGGTGAGGAAAAGTCACCTGGCCAGGTGAGGGAGGTGACCCAGCCCAGGTGAGGGAGGTGACCCTGCCCAGGTGAGGGGAGGTGACCCAGCCCAAGTGAGGTGATCCAGCCCAGGTGAGGGGATGGAGGTGACCCAGCCCAGGTGAGGAAAAGTGACCTGGCCAGGTGAGGGAGGTGACCCAGCCCAGGTGTGGAGAAGTGACCTGGCCCACATGAGGTGACCCAGCCCAGGTGAGGAGAGTGGATGTGACCTGGCCAGGTAAGGGAGGTGACCCTGCCCAGGTGAGGAGAGGGGATGTGACCAGGCCCAGGTGAGAGGAGGTGACCCAGCCCAGGTGAGGAGATGTAACCCAGCCCAGGTGAGGTGACCTGGCCGAGGTGAGAGAGGTGACCCTGCCCAGGTGAGGGAGGTGACCCAACCCAGGTGAGGGAGGTGACCCAGCCCAGGTGAGGTGACCCGGCCGAGGTGAGAGAGGTGACCCAGCCCAGGTGAGGAAGGTGACCTTGCCCAGGTGAGGTGACCCTGCCCAGGTGAGGTGCCCAGCTGAGGTGACCCGGCCCAGGTGAGGGCAGAACTCACCTGAGAAGTTCCTGAAGAGCCGGGAGAAGGTGGAGAAGCGGTTGCGGTGCAGCCACTGCTGCGCCTCCTGCGGGCTCCAGGTGGGCAGCAGCGTCTGGGGGACAGGGGGACACCGGTGCTGCCACATGACCTGCTGCCAGCTCAGGTGTTTGCAGCCAGGCAGGGGCACAGGTGAGCTCAGGGTGGGTCAGCACAGGTGGGAACTGAGCCCCTGAGCAGGTGGGAGGAGGTGATGACCTCAGGTGACCTGGAAATGTCTCCAGGTGATGTGGAAGTGTTTGTGCTGAGGCTCAGGTGAGCTCAGGTGAGCTCGGGGGGGCCAGCACAGGTGGGAATTCCCCCCCAGGTGGGGACAGCGGGGTCTCCCAGGTGTCTGCAGGTGACCCAAGGGTTCCCCTGTGGAACCCCCCAGGTGTACCTGGGCAGGTACCTGGGCAGGTACTTACGTCAGCCAGCGGCGCGGGGGGGTCGGGCTGGTGGCTCGGGGACCCACTGCTGGGGACAGAGGGACACGGGTCACTGGGTACTGGGGACACGGGTCACTGGGGACACTGGGGACACTGGGACATGGGTCACTGGGGTACTGGGACACTGGGACATGGGTCACTGGGTACTGGGACACTGGGAGAGGGGTCACTGGGGTACTGGGGACACTGGGACAGGGGTCACTGGGGACACTGGGACACGGGTCACTGGGTACTGGGACATGGGGTACTGGGGACACTGGGGACACTGGGGACACTGGAGGCATGGTAACTGGGCACTGGGATACTGGACATTGGTGTCACTGTCATACTGGGATAGCTGTCCCAGTGGGTACTGGGGACACCGTCCCAGTGGGATACTGGTGTCACTGTCACTGGATGGCACTGGGGTGTAACTGGGATTACTGGGATGACACTGGGGTCACTAGGGTGGTACAGGGGTGGTACTGGGATCACTGGGATGGCACTGGGGTTACTGGGATGACAGTGAGATGACAGTGGGGTAATACTGGGGTCACTGGGATGTCAGTGGGATAGCACTGGGGTCACTGGGATGGCACTGGGGTGTCACTGGGATGGCACTGGGATGGCACTGGTGCTACCCCCCTGTGTGACCCGCCCCCCAGTCCCAGCCCTCCCAGCACTCCCAGTCCCAGCCCTCCCAGCACTCCCAGTCCCAGCTCTCCCAGCGCTCCCAGTCCCAGCCCTCCCAGCCCTTTCAGTCCCAGCCCTCCCAGTCCCAGCTCTCCCAGTACTCCCAGTCCCAGCTCTCCCAGCACTCCCAGTCCCAGCTCTCCCAGTACTCCCAGTCCCAGCACTCCCAGTACTCCCAGTCCCAGCCCTCCCAGCACTCCCAGTCCCAGCCCTCCCAGCACTCCCAGTCCCAGCTCACCCGTCCCCGATGGAGAAGCTGCTGTGGGAGCTGTTGAAGCCGGGGGATGGCGCGTTGGGCACGTAGGTGACCTCGGGCCAGGGCGAGCACTGCGGGCACGCCAGGTGAGCTCAGGGCACCTGGGCTGCACCTGCACACACCTGCACACACCTGGGACCATGCACACACCTGGGCTGCACCTGCACACACCTGCACACACCTGGGACCATGCACACACCTGGGCTGCACCTGCACACACCTGGGACCATGCACACACCTGGGCTGCATCTGCACACACCTGGAACCATGCACACAGCTGGGCTGCATCTGCACACACCTGGAACCATGCACACACCTGGGCTACACCTGCATGCAGCTGGGACTGCACACACACACACACCTGAACACACCTGGAGCCATGCACACACCTGGGACTGCACCTGCATGTACCTGCATATACCTGCACTGCACGCACACATCTGCATACACCTGGAACCATGCACACACCTGGGCCGCACCTACACAGACCTGCACATGCCTGCACTGCACACACACACCTGGAACCATGCACACACCTGGGCTGCATCTGCACACACCCGGGACTGTACCTGTGCACACCTGCACTGCACACACACACCCTCCCACTCCTGGGACTGCACCTGTGCACACCCGGGACTGCACCTGTGCACACCTGTACTGCACACACAGGCCTGCACACATCTGCACTGCACACACACACCTGAACACACCTGGGACTACACCTGCACACACCTGGACCCACACATACCTCCAACCCCACACACCTGGCCCTGCACACACCTGACCTTGCATACACCTGGCCCTGCACACACCTGACCTTGCACACACCTGGCCTTGCACACACCTGGCCAGCTCAGGTCAGTAATGTCCCCAAAGCCCTTCTGCAGGTACAAAAGCACCTTCTGTGCCCCAGGTTGGCCTGGCAGGTACGAAGACCTCGAGCCAAGCTCTCCCAGCAGCACAGCCCTGCTCCCTGGCAGCCAGGTGAGCTCACCTCGGTGAGGATGGTGGTCTCGTAGGAGGGCTGGTACTTCTCCTTCTCGTGGGGCGTCCGCTTCTCCATCTTCTCCCGGTCCGTCTTCTGCTTCCGGTCGGCTCCTTTGGGCTGGAAAGGGACAGGCCAGGACAGGTGTGTGGGACACTCACAGGGCACTCAGGTGGCACAGGTGACTCAGCCTGCCTGGTGCTCAACACAGGGAAAAGGAGCAGTTTGGGGAGAAGCTTGTCCTGAGGGCCCCTGCAGGGACAGGGGTGTGACCACCTGGAGACACTTGTAACCACCTGGAGCCACCTGTAACCACCTGGAGACACCTGTAAGGAACCATGCACACAGCTGGGCTGCATCTGCACACACCTGGAACCATGCACACACCTGGGCTACACCTGCATGCAGCTGGGACTGCACACACACACACACCTGAACACACCTGGAGCCATGCACACACCTGGGACTGCACCTGCATGTACCTGCATATACCTGCACTGCACGCACACATCTGCACACACCTGGAACCATGCACACACCTGGGCCGCACCTACACAGACCTGCACATGCCTGCACTGCACACACACACCTGGAACCATGCACACATCTGGGCTGCATCTGCACACACCCGGGACTGTACCTGTGCACACCTGCACTGCACACACACACCCTCCCACTCCTGGGACTGCACCTGTGCACACCCGGGACTGCACCTGTGCACACCTGTACTGCACACACAGGCCTGCACACATCTGCACTGCACACACACACCTGAACACACCTGGGACTGCACCTGCACACACCTGGACCCACACATATATCCAACCCCACATACCTGGCCCTGCACACACCTGGACCCACACATACCTCCAACCCCACACACCTGGCCCTGCACACACCTGACCTTGCATACACCTGGCCCTGCACACACCTGACCTTGCATACACCTGGCCCTGCACACACCTGACCTTGCACACACCTGGCCTTGCACACACCTGGCCAGCTCAGGTCAGTAATGTCCCCAAAGCCCTTCTGCAGGTACAAAAGCACCTTCTGTGCCCCAGGTTGGCCTGGCAGGTACGAAGACCTCGAGCCAAGCTCTCCCAGCAGCACAGCCCTGCTCCCTGGCAGCCAGGTGAGCTCACCTCGGTGAGGATGGTGGTCTCGTAGGAGGGCTGGTACTTCTCCTTCTCGTGGGGCGTCCGCTTCTCCATCTTCTCCCGGTCCGTCTTCTGCTTCCGGTCGGCTCCTTTGGGCTGGAAAGGGACAGGCCAGGACAGGTGTGTGGGACACTCACAGGGCACTCAGGTGGCACAGGTGACTCAGCCTGCCTGGTGCTCAACACAGGGAAAAGGAGCAGTTTGGGGAGAAGCTTGTCCTGAGGGCCCCTGCAGGGACAGGGGTGTGACCACCTGGAGACACCTGTAACCACCTGGAGCCACCTGTAACCACCTGGAGACACCTGTAATTACCTGAACATAACTGTAACCACCTGTAACCACCTGGAGACACCTGTAATTACCTGAATGTACCTGTAACCACCTGTAACCACCTGGAGACACCTGTAACCACCTGGAGCCACCTGTAACCACCTGGAGACACCTGTAATTACCTGAACATAACTGTAACCACCTGTAACCACCTGGAGACACCTGTAATTACCTGAACATAACTGTAACCACCTGTAACCACCTGGAGACACCTGTAATTACCTGAATGTACCTGTAACCATCTGTAACCATCTAAATACACCTGTAACCGCCTGTAGACACCTGTAACCACCTGAACATACCTTTAACTACCTGAACACACCTGTAACCACCTAGAGACATCTGTAATTACCTGAATGTAACTGTAACCACCTGTAACCATCTGAATACACCTGTAACCACCTGAACACATCTGTAACCACCTGAATACACCTGGAGACACCTGTAACCACCTGAACATACCTTTTACTCCCTGAATACACCTGTAACCCCCTAAATACACCTGTAACCACCTGGAGACACTTGTATTCACCTGAATACACCTGTAACCCTGTAAATACACCTGTAACTACCTGAACACACCAGTAACCACCTAGAGACACCTGTAATTACCTGAATGTAACTGTAACCACCTGTAACCATCTGAATACACCTGTAACCACCTGAACACACCTGTAACCACCCGAACACACCTGTAACCACCCGAACAGACCTGGAAACACCTGTAACCCTCTGAACACACCTGTAACCGCCTGGAGACACCAGTAACCACCTGTACATACCTTTAACTCCCTGAATACACCTGTAACACCCTAAATACACCTGTAACCACCTGGAGACACCTGTATTCACCTGGATACACCTGTAACCCTGTAAATACACCTGTAACTACCTGAACACACCTGTAACCACCTAGAGACATCTGTAATTACCTGAATGTAACTGTAACCACCTGTAACCATCTGAATACACCTGTAACCACCTGAACACACCTGTAACCACCTGGAGACACCTGTAACCACTCTGCACACACCTGTAATCCCTGAATACAGCTGAGTTGTGTCGTGCATCACCCACGTAGGAGATGGGATTTTGGAGGGACAAACTACACCTGGACACGAGGTCACAGGGCTGGCCTTGACTTTGCCACACCTTGAGCACCTGGGCCCCTCCTCCACCTAAAATTGGGGGGATTTTACTCAAATCCCATGGGAAGCACAGATGTGGAACCTCCACAGGTATCCAGGTGTTCCCCTTGGCAGATCCCTGAAGAAATTCCCTTAAACTTGGCTGTACCTGCACTCACAGGTGAAGGAATTTGGCCCAGGTGGACCAGGGGAGAACAGAGCAGGAACCCAAACCCCACTGACCCCCGAGGTGAACAGGTGAGAAAAGAGGAGCCAGGCTGAGATTTTGGGGGTGCTGCAGGTGGGATGGAGTCGCGGGCACCCCAAGGTGTGACCACAGCGGGAACGACCCCTCCCTGCACCTGCACCACCTGCACCACAGGTTGGGGCTGTTACTCCTAAAGGTGGGAGGTTTCAGAGGCACCAGTAGCCCCCAGTACAAACTGGGACAGAGCCCCAGGTGCGCCCAGGTGGGAGGGGCCTGCAGGTACCTTGAAGACCTTGATCTGGCAGCTGGCGGAGTGCAGGTGCTCCGTGTACTCGCCGCTCTCGTTCTCCCTGAAGGTGTCGATCTGCACGCGGAAGGGAACGCCCTTCTCCCCGCCGTGCTTGCGCAGCGTGAACTCCGTGCTGATGCAGTGCACCTGGGGACAGGTGAGCTGCCTGTGGGACTGCCACCGAGGGACAGAGCCCACCTGAGCCTCACCTGGGTGTGAGAGCCCACCTGAGCCTCACTGGGCGTGGGACAGAGCCCACCTGAGCCTCACCTGGGTGTGAGAGCCCACCTGAGCCTCACTGGGCGTGGGACAGAGCCCACCTGAGCCTCACCTGGGTGTGAGAGCCCACCTGAGCCTCACTGGGCGTGGGACAGAGCCCACCTGAGCCTCACCTGGGTGTGAGAGCCCACCTGAGCCTCACTGGGTGTGGGACAGAGCCCACCGGTGCCTCCCCTGGGTGTGAGAGCCCACCTGAGCCTCACTGGGTGTGGGACAGAGCCCACCTGAGCCTCACCTGGGTGTGGGACAGAGCCTATCTGTCCCTCACGTGGATGTGAGGCAGTGCCCACCTGTGCCTCACCTGGATGAGGAACAGAGCCCACCTGAGCCTCACTGGGTGTGGGAGAGAGCCACCTGAGCCTCACCTGGGTGAGAGAGCCCACCTGAGCCTCATGGGTGTGGGATAGAGCCCACCTGAGCCTCACTTGGGTGTGGGAGAGAGTCCACCTGAGCCTCACTTGGGTGTGAGAGCCCACCTGAGCCTCACTGGGAGTGGGACAGAGCCCACCTGAGCCTCACTTGGGTGTGGGATAGAGCCCACCTGAGCCTCACCTGGATGAGGGACAGAGCCCACCTGTCCCTTACCCTAATGTAGAATAGAACTCACCTGCCCTTCACCTGGGTGTGAGGCAGTGCCCACCTGTCTCTCACCTGGCTGTGAGGCAGTGCCCACCTGTGCCTCACCTGGATGAGGGACAGAGCCCCCCTGTGCCTCACCTGGGTGTGGGACAGAGCCCACCTGTCCCTCACGTGGATGTGGAACAGAGCCCACCTGTCCCTTACCCTGATGTAGAATAGAACTCACCTGCCCCTCACCTGGGTGTGAGGCAGTGCCCACCTGTCCCTCACCTGGATGAACACTGACGTCCTCTTGGAGGGATCCCACAGGAACTCCACGGTGTTGAGCTGTGTCGGGTTGGCGCGGGGGTCGATGATCCCCACGGACATCGGGATATCTGCGGGGGGAACAGGTGAGGCCCACCTGGGACCTCCCAGCTGCCCCAGCCAGGTGAGACTCACCTATGTCCAGGATCCTGTCGCCAGGCCTGTTCCACCTCCAGCCCTCCAGCTGCTGGTGCTCCGTGTACTGCAGCCGCCGGTCATGGAAAACCACCCGGAAGATGCTCTGGGGAAGGGGGAAACATCACCTGGAGCTGCCCTGGCACACCTGGCCAGATGTGCAGCCCTTCCCTGTGCCAAAAAGGGGCAAAGGGGAGCTCCCTCCCCCCACAAACAGGTGTATCTCCCAGCCCCACCCAGCTGCAGGGCCCCAGGGGGCACCTGGCTGGCATGGGCACACCTGGCCAGGGGCACCTGTGCCCTCTGCTCACCTTGACCAGTTTCCCGTTGATCTCGGGCAGCTCCCCAAGTTTCCTGTTGTCCAACATCCGGATCTCGTAGGATTGACCTGGGGGCAGGAGGGCACCTGAGGGTTTTCTGTCACCTGTACCTGTCACCTGAGCTCCTCGTTCATTTGGGGTCCTGCCAACCCAGACCTTCCAGCTGTACCTGAAAGCAGCAGGTACAGCCTGAACCTGCAACTGCCACCCTGCAGAGCTGCCCAGCACTGACCTGTACAGATACACCTTACACACACCTGTAACCACCCTGCACACACCTGTACAGATACACCTTACACACACCTGTAACCACCCTGCACACACCTGTACAGATACACCTTACACACACCTGCACAGACACACCTTACACACACCTGCATCCACCCTGCACACACCTGTACAGATACACCTTACACATACCTCTAACCCCCTGCACACACCTGTACAGATACACCTTACACACACCTGTAATCCTCTGCACACACCTGTACAGATACACCTTACACACACCTGCATCCACCCTGCACACACCTGTACAGATACACCTTACACATACCTCTAACCCCCTGCACACACCTGTACAGATACACCTTACACACACCTGTAATCCTCTGCACACACCTGTACAGATACACCTTACACACACCTGTAACCCTCTGCACACACCTGTACAGATACACCTTACACACACCTGTAACCACGCTGCACACACCTGTACAGACACACCTTACACACACCTGCACCAACCCTGCACACACCTGTACAGATACACCTGCCACCCACCTGTGAAGCTACAACTTCCACCCTCCAGAACTCCCCTGCACACACCTGTACAGACACACCTTACACACACCTGTAACCACCCTGCACACACCTGTACAGATACACCTTACACACACCTGTACAGATACACCTTACACACACCCATAATCCTCTGCACACACCTGTACAGACACACCTTACACACACCTGTACCCACCCTGCACACACCTGTATAGACACACCTTACACATACCTGTACAGACACACCTTACACACACCTGCATCCACCCTACACACACCTGTACAGACACACCTTACACACACCTGCACAGACACACCTTACACACACCTGCATCCACCCTGCACACACCTGTACAGACACACCTTACACACACCTCCATCCACCCTGCACACACCTGTATACACACCTGTTACCACCCCCCAGTCCCCACCCTTTAACGCACCGCCACCTCCCATTTCCCAACAGGAACACCCCAAAAATCAACAATCCCCGGGGAAAACAACAACTTCCACGGGCAGAACCCCCCTGCTGGGGCGGCTCCCAGGGCACCTGCGCAGGACAGGTGCGGCTCACCTTGGTTGAGGTAGGTGAGGGTCTCGTCGTGCAGCTTGACGGCGGGGGAGGTGGCGGCGCACAGCACGTACTGGAAGGGCAGCAGCTTGTCCTGGCTCTCCGGGGGCAGGCTGGACTCCTCCTGCTTGAAGATGGGCAGAGCCAGGACGTCGCTGCGGAGACGGGAGAGTCACCTGAGACAGGTGAGCTGGGGGGCTCAGGGATTCCTTCAATCCCACCTGGGCCTCGGTACCTGGAGGAGGAGCCCCAGCGGGAAGCCGGCTCTGCCTCTGGGCCCTGCTCCAGGTGTGCCCTCAACATCTGGCCTCAGGGCTCACCTGATACACCTGTCAGCACCTGGGCACACCTGTGAGCACTCCTAATCCTGACTCCAACCACTACAACAACCACAATTCCAGCTGTAACTCCAGCCCTGCTCGTTCCCTACTCCAACCACAGCTCCAGCCCAACTGCATCCCGAATCTATCTTGAATCCATCCCAACGGCATCCCAAATTAATTCATCCTGAATCCATCCCAACTGCCTCCCAAATCCATCCTGAATCTATCCTGAATCCATCTCAACTGCATCTCAAATCCATCCTGAATCCATCCCAACTGCATCCCCAATCCATCCCGAATCTATCCTGAATCCATCCTGAATCCATCCCAAATCTATCCTGAATCCATCCCTACTGCATCCCAAATCCATCCCAACTGCATCCCGAATCCATCCCAACGGCATCCCAAATTAATTCATCCTGAATCCATCCCAACTGCCTCCCAAATCCATCCTGAATCTATCCTGAATCCATCTCAACTGCATCTCAAATCCATCCTGAATCCATCCCAACTGCATCCCAAATCCATCCTGAATCCATCCCTACTGCATCCCAAATCCATCCCAACTGCATCCCGAATCCATCCCAACGGCATCCCAAATCCATCCCAACTGCATCCCAAATTAATCCATCCCAAATCCATCCCAACCGCATCACGAATCCATCCCTACTGCATCCCAAATCCATCCTGAATCCATCCCAAAGGCATCCTGAATCCATCCTAACGGCATCCCAAATCCATCCCAACTGCATCCCAAATTAATCCATCCCAAATCCATCCCAACCGCATCACGAATCCATCCCTACTGCATCCCAAACCCATCACAATGGCATCCTGAATCCATCCCAAACCATCCCAAATCTATCCCAATGGCACCCCAAATCCATCCTAAATCAATCCCTACTGCATCCCAAATCCATCCCGAATCCATCCTAAACCAATCCCTACTGCATCCCGAATCCATCCCAGCCCCAAACACAGCTCCGTGTACTACTTCAGCCATAATTCCAATTACAACTCTCCCTTACTCCATCCCTACTCCATCCCTACTCCTTCCCAACTCGCCCCCTGCTCCATCCCACTCCCAACCCCAATTCCCCCCCAACGCCCCCCTTTCCCCCCTTGGTGCCCCAACTCTGGCACAGTTCAGGGCTCCCCGTGCCCCTGGCACCCCCTGCCACTCTGGGGACCCTGGAGATTCTGGGGTCCCCCCTGGCGGTTCTGGGGACCCCCAGAGATTTTGGGATCCCCCCGGAGATTCTGGGGACCCCCAGAGATTTTGGGATCCCCCCGGAGATTCTGGGGACCCCAGAGATTTTGGAGTTCCCACCAGGGATTTTGAGATCCCTCATGGAGACCCTGGAAAAGCCCCAGGGTTCTGGGGACCCCCAGAGATTTTAGGGTTTCCCTTGGGGATTTTGGGGACCCTCAGAGATTTTAGAGTTTCCCTTAGGGGTTCTGAGGACCCCTGGAGATTTTGGGGTTTCCCTTGGTGATTCTGGGCACCCCCAGAGATTCTGGGGATCCCCTGGAGATTCTGGGGTTTCCCTTGGGGATTTTGGGGGATCCATGAAGATTTTGGGGTTTCCCTTGGCGATTCTCGTGTACTACTTCAGCCATAATTCCAATTACAACTCTCCCTTACTCCATCCCTACTCCATCCCTACTCCATCCCAACTCCTTCCCAACTCTCCCCCTGCTCCATCCCACTCCCAACCCCAATTCCCCCCCAACGCCCCCATTTCCCCCCTTGGTGCCCCAACTCTGGCACAGTTCAGGGCTCCCCGTGCCCCTGGCACCCCCTGCCACTCTGGGGACCCTGGAGATTCTGGGGTCCCCCCTGGCGGTTCTGGGGACCCCCAGAGATTTTGGGATCCCCCCGGAGATTCTGGGGACCCCCAGAGATTTTGGGATCCCCCCGGAGATTCTGGGGACCCCAGAGATTTTGGAGTTCCCACCAGGGATTTTGAGATCCCTCATGGAGACCCTGGAAAAGCCCCAGGGTTCTGGGGACCCCCAGAGATTTTAGGGTTTCCCTTGGGGATTTTGGGGACCCTCAGAGATTTTAGAGTTTCCCTTAGGGGTTCTGAGGACCCCTGGAGATTTTGGGGTTTCCCTTGGTGATTCTGGGCACCCCCAGAGATTCTGGGGATCCCCTGGAGATTCTGGGGTTTCCCTTGGGGATTTTGGGAGATCCATGAAGATTTTGGGGTTTCCCTTGGCGATTCTGGGGATCCCCTGGAGATTTTGGGGTTTCCCTTGGGGATTTTGGGGTTTCCCTTGGGGACTCTGGGGATCCATGAATATTTTGGGGTTTCCCTTGGGGACTCTGGGGATCCATGAAGATTTTGGGGTTTCCCTTGGGGACTCTGGGGATCCATGAAGATTTTGGGGTTTCCCTTGGGGACTCAGGGGATCCATGAAGATTTTGGGGTTTCCCTTGGGGACTCAGGGGATCCATGAAGATTTTGGGGTTTCCCTTGGGGACTCAGGGGATCCATGAAGATTTTGGGGTTTCCCTTGGGGACTCCGGGGATCCATGAAGATTTTGAGGTTTCCCTTGGGGACTCTGGGGATCCATGAAGATTTCGGGGTGCCTCTGGAGATTCCGGGGTCCCCTCCTCCTTCGGGTCCCAGCGCTGAGGCGCCGCCCGACACCTTCAACCTCCAGCTCGTTTTGGGGCTCCCCGCTCCCCGCACGGCCCCTGCCTTCCCCGGGATGTTTTGGGGTGCCCTGTTTCGGGGTGCCTGTCAGTTTTGGGGTGCCCTGTCAGCTCTGGGGTCCCCGGTACCTCATGCTGTAGGCGCCGGCGCCGAGCTCCTGCCCGATGCCCGAGAGGCTGGCGTCGAAATCCTGCACCAGCCCCGACTCGATCACCTCGTCCGCCAGCGGCAGCTTCAGCGCCCACGCCATGGCCCCGAGGCACCCCGAAAACGGCCACCGGCTCACCCCCAAACACGGGGGGTCCTCAGGGTCACCCCCCAGAAAACGGGCTTGGCGTGGTCACTCCAAAAACCAGGAGTCCTCAGGGTCACCCACCAAAAAATGGGGTTGTCGTGGTCACTTCAAAAACGGGGGGGGGGGGTGTCTTTGGGCCACCCCAAAAATGGGGGGGGTCAGGGGGTGCTCAAAAATGGGGTGTCTTGAGGACAAAAGTGGGACTTGGCGCACCCCCAAACACGCGGGTCCTTGGGGTCACCCCAAAAAGGGGCTTTCAGGGGTCCCCCCAAAACCAGGGGGCTTTGGGGGTACCTCAAGTGTGAGGAGGACTTGGGGTCACCCCAAAACAGGGTCTTCAGTGTCACCCCACACCAGGGGCTCCTCGGGGCACCCCAACACCTCCCCCTGATTTCTGGGGGTACCAAAGCCCCCCGGACCTCTTGAGGACCCTCTCCTGCAGTGATTAATTTGGGGACCCCCAAACCCCGCTACCACAGGCAAATGAACCCCAAAACCCAGCGACACCCCCGCTCAAAGGGAACACCTCCGGGGGACCCCCAAAATCCTGCACTCCCCTCAAGGGGCTGCACCCAAGGGGACCCCAAAATCCTGCACTCCCCTCTCAGGGCTGCACCCAAGGGACCCCCAAAACCCTGAACTCCCTCAAGGGGCTGCACCCAAGGCAACCCCCCCAATCCAGGCCAGGACCCCCCAGTCCAGGCCGGGATCCCCAGTCCGGGCCGGGACTCCCCCAATCCGGGATCGGACCCCCACCAGTCCAGGCTGGGACCCCCCAGTCCAGGCCGGGACCCCCCGATCCGAGCCCGGACCCCCCAATCCGGGCCGGGACCCCCAGTCCGGGCCCCCCCCCCCCCGCTCCGGGCCGGGACCCCCAAACGCGCCGCTCCGCCAAGATGGAGGCGGCGGCCCCACCCCCGCCGCTGGGCGGGCGGTCCCGCCCCTCCGCCCCCCTCAGCCAATGAGACCGGGTCTTGCCACATGACGGGCGGCCATAAAATCCAATAGAGAGCTGCGCGCCGGGCAGGCCGCTCGGGGATTGGCTGAGGGGCGTGGCCGCGGCGGCGTGCGGCGCTGGGCAGTGTGTGGCGCCTCCCGCGGGGCCGCAGGTTCGATTCCCGCCGTTGCCTCTGCGCCGGCCGCAGGCGGGGCCGAGGAAGAGGAAGAACCACCCCACCCCCCAAATCCTGAAAAAAGGGGAAAGGAAAAGAAAAAAGAAAAATACTGTTTATTTCACACCACTACATCAAGTGCATCAGTCTGTCGCGGCCCCAGCGGGCGCCCCCGTGTCCCCCCCAAAGCTCCCCTCCCATCGCTCCCGGGGGGACTCAGGGCAGGGGGAACTGGGGAAGGGGCGCTGCCTCTGTTTTGGGGTTCACGCCCCCCAAACCCAGGGGTGATGTCCCCAAAAGCCACCCACGGGACGTCCCCAAGGTGGGGGATCACCCCCAGAAGCCCCTCACGAGGTGGGGGACCCGCAAAGCGGGGGTGACACAAATTTGGGGTCGCCCCTGGTGAGCCGTAACATCGCCTCAGTAACACAGGAAAAAGGGCAAACCCCAGGAAAATGGAAATCGCGGATTCTGGGTGGGCTTGTGACACTCAGGGGGGGGTCTGTCACCACGGGTGTCACAGGTGGGGGAGGTGTGACATCGACACGCTCGGGCCGTGTGTGAGAGGAGGGAACGGGGGGCACACACAGGCACAGGTGGGCACAGGTACAGGCACGGGGGCAGAGGGACAAAATCCGTGGCCAAAGGGACAAAACCAGTGGCCAAAGTGCTGATGGCTGGAGGTCAAGGGGCTGGGACTGGTGGGACACACAGGGGGCTCCCAGTGCTCCCAGTTCAGTGTGCTGAGGGCACAGTGGGGTGGGCACAGGTACGGGCACAGGGCTGGAGGGACACGGGGGTGGCCACAGCGACAAAACCAGTGACCAAAGGGACAAAATCTGCGGCCAAAGGGGCAAAATCAGTGGCCGAAGTGCTGATGGCAGGTGGTCAGGGGGGACTGTGACTGGGAACTGGGATGCTCCCAGTGCTCCCAGTTCAGAACATGCGGAAGACGTTGAGTGTCGGACACAGGCACAGGTGTAGAGGACACAGGTACAGGTGTGCTGGACACAGGTACAGGTGTAGAGGACAGGTACAGGTGTGCTAGACACAGGTACAGGTGTGCTGGACACAGGTATGGGCATGGTGGACACAGGTACAGGTGTAGAGGATACAGGTACAGGTGTAGAGGACACAGGCACAGGTGTGCTGGACACAGGTACAGGTATGGTGATGGAACCAGGTGACAGAGGGACAGAACCAGTGCCCAAAGTGCTGATGGCAGGAGGCCGGGGAACCCGGGTGCTCCCAGTTTAGGGCACGTGGGAGTTGCTGAGGGGCAGGTGAGGGCCTGGACACAGGTAAAAGTGTGCTGGACACAGGCACAGGTGTGGTGGACACAGGTATGGGCATGGTGGACACAGGCACAGGTGTAGAGGACACAGGTACAGGTGTGCTGGACATGGGTACAGGTGTGCTGGACACAGGTACAGGTGTGGAGATGGAACCAGGTTGCAGAGGGACAGAACCAGTGCCCAAAGTGCTGATGGCAGGAGGCCGGGGGGCCCCTTGGCGCTCCCAGTTTAGGGCACGTGGGAGTTGCTGAGGGGCAGGTGAGGGCCTGGACACAGGTAAAAGTGTGCTGGACACAGGCACAGGTGTGGTGGACACAGGTATGGGCATGGTGGACACAGGCACAGGTGTAGAGGACACAGGTACAGGTGTGCTGGACATGGGTACAGGTGTGATGGACACAGGTACAGGTGTGCTGGACACAGGTATGGGCATGGTGGACACAGGCACAGGTGTAGAGGACACAGGTACAGGTGTGACACAGACACAGGTGTGTTGGACACAGGTAGGGGTGTGCTGGACACGGGTATGGGCATGGTGGACACAGGCACAGGTGTGCTGGACACAGGCACAGGTGTGCTGGACATGGGTACAGGTGTGCTGGACACAGGGACAGATGTGATGGACACAGACACAGGTGTGTTGGACACAGGTAGGGGTGTGCTGGACACGGGTATGGGCATGGTGGACACAGGCACAGGTGTGCTGGACACAGGCACAGGTGTGCTGGACATGGGTACAGGTGTGCTGGACACAGGGACAGATGTGATGGACACAGACACAGGGGTGTTGGACACAGGTAGGGGTGTGCTGGACACGGGAATGGGCATGGTGGACACAGGCACAGGTGTGCTGGACACAGGCACAGGTGTGCTGGACATGGGTACAGGTGTGCTGGACACAGGGACAGATGTGATGGACACAGACACAGGTGTGTTGGACACAGGTAGGGGTGTGCTGGACACAGGGACAGGTGTGCTGGACACAGACACAGGTGTGCTGGACAGAGGCACAGATGTGATGGACACAGGCACAGGTGTGCTGGACACAGGCACAGGTGTGCAGATGGAGCCAGGTGGCAGAGGACAGGCGTGGTGATGGAACCAGGCGGCAGAGGGACAGAACCAGTGCCCAAAGTGCTGATGGCAGGAGGCCGGGGAACCCGGGTGCTCCCAGTTTAGGGCACGTGGGAGTTGCTGAGGGGCAGGTGAGGGCCTGGACACAGGTAAAAGTGTGCTGGACACAGGCACAGGTGTGGTGGACACAGGTATGGGCATGGTGGACACAGGTACAGGTGTGCTGGACACAGGTAAAGGTGTGCTGGACACAGGCACAGGTGTGCTGGACATGGGTACAGGTGTGATGGACACAGACACAGGTGTGCTGGACAGAGGCACAGGTGTGATGGACACAGGTAAAGGTGTGGTGGACACAGATACAGGTGTGCTAGACATAGGTATGGGCACGGTGGACACAGGCACAGGTGTGCTGGACATAGGTAGGGGTGTGCTGGACACAGGTAGGGGTGTGCTGGACACAGGGACAGATGTGGTGGACACAGACACAGGTGTGCTGGAGACAGATACAGGTGTGGTGGACAGAGGCACAGGTGTGATGGACACAGGTAAAGGTGTGCTGGAGACAGATACAGGTGTGCTGGACACAGGCACAGGTGTGATGGACACAGATACAGGTGTGCTAGACATAGGTATGGGCACGGTGGACACAGGCACAGGTGTGCTGGACACAAGACGGAGCCAGGTGGCAGAGGACAGGCGTGGTGATGGAACCAGGCGGCAGAGGGACAGAACCAGTGCCCAAAGTGCTGATGGCCGGGGGCCCCGGGGCGCTCCCGGCGCTCCCGGCTGGCGGCACCGGGAGCCGCTGGAGGCGGGCCGGGCCGGGCGGCGGGGCAGAGCCGGGCCGGGCGCGGCGCTCAGGGCACGTGGAACACGTTCAGCTTGCTGGTGTTCTTGAGGGTCTGGCGGCGGTTGCAGAACCACACCCGCACCACCTCCCGCTCGTAGCGCAGCTCCTGCGCGATGCGCGTGATCTCGGCGCCCGTGGGCAGCGCGTTGCGCTCGAAGTGCGCGTTGAGCGCCTCCAGCGCCTGCGGCGTGAACGAGGTGCGCCGCTTGCGCTTCTTGCCCGGCTCGCCCCCCACGAACTCCAGCAGGTGCTGCTGCCCCTCCCGCTGCCGCTGCTCCGCCTCCCGCAGCCACTTCTCCAGCACCGGCTTCAGCTTCTGCGCGCTCTTGGGCGTGATGTCCAGCTTCTCGAACCTGGGGACACAGGGGACAGTCAGGGGACACAGGGGACACTCAGTGTGATGTCCAGCTTCTCGAACCTGGGGACACAGGGGACAGTCAGGGGACACAGGGGACACTCAGTGTGATGTCCAGCTTTTCGAACCTGGGGACACAGGGGACAGTCAGGGGACACAGGGGACACTCAGTGTGATGTCCAGCTTTTCGAACCTGCGGACACAGGGGACAATCAGGGGACCCAGGGGACCCTCAGTGTGATGTCCAGCTTCTCGAACCTGGGGACACAGGGGACAGTCAGGGGACACAGGGGACACTCAGTGTGATGTCCAGCTTTTCGAACCTGCGGACACAGGGGACAATCAGGGGACCCAGGGGACCCTCAGTGTGATGTCCAGCTTCTCGAACCTGGGGACACAGGGGACAGTCAGGGGACACAGGGGACACTCAGTGTGATGTCCAGCTTTTCGAACCTGGGGACACAGGGGACAATCAGGGGACACAGGGGACACTCAGTGTGATGTCCAGCTTCTCGAACCTGGGGACACAGGGGACAGTCAGGGGACACAGGGGACACTCAGTGTGATGTCCAGCTTCTCGAACCTGGGGACACAGGGGACACTCAGAGGGGACACTCGGGGGACACTCGGGGGGGTGTACAGCTTCTCGAACCTGTGGGGACATGGGGGACATGGGGACACTCAGGGGGACACAGGGGACACTAAGGGGGGGATGTCCAGCTTCTCGTATCTGCAGGGACACGGGGACGATCGGGGGGACACAGGGGACACTTGTGTGTGATGTCCAGCTTCTCGAACCTGGGGACATGGGGACACAGGGGACACTCAGGGGGGACACAGGAGACACTTGGGCGTGATGTCCAGCTTCTCAAACCTGGGGATAGAGAGGACACTCAGGGACACTCAGGGGACACAGGGGACACTCAGAGGGGACACTCAGGGGGTACTCGGGGGGGACGTACAACTTCTCGAACCTGTGGGGACATGGGGACACAGGGGACACTCAGGGGACACTCAGCGTGATGTCCAGCTTCTCGAACCTGGGGACACAGAGGGACGTGGGGACACTCAGGGGGCACTCGGGGGGGTGTACAGCTTCTCGAACCTGTGGGGACATGGGGACACAGGAGACACTCAGGGGACACTCAGCATGATGTCCAGCTTCTCGAACTCGCGGGGACATGGGGATACTCAGGGGACACTTGGAGGGGGACACAGGGGACACTTGGGCGTGATGTCCTGCTTCTCAAACCTGGGGATAGAGAGGACACTCAGGGGACACAGCGGACACTCGGGGGGCATGTCCAGCTTCTCGAACCTGCAGGGACATGGGGACACTGAGGCGGGACACAGGGGACACTCAGGGGACACTCGGGGGGGATGTCCAGCTTCTCGAACCTGGGGACACAGGGGACAATCAGGGGACACTCAGGGGGTGTCCTGGGGCTGATGTCCAGCTTCTCAAACCTGAGGGGATCTGGAGGACACAGGAGACCCTCAGGGATGGGGGCCAAGGGGACAGCAGGCTGGGACAGGGGGGTGACAGTGAAGGGGCAGCAACGCCCAACACCCTCCTTTGCCATTCCCTTCCTTTCTCGCTTTCCTCCTTGGCCCATTCCCTTCCCCTTCTCAGTTTCCTCCTCTGCCCATTTTCCTTTTTCTCCAGTTCCCCTCCCTCCACCTCTCCCCCCTTTCCCCCTTTCCTTTGCCCCTTCCCCAGAGTTTTCCTCCTTCTCTCCAGTTTCCTTCCTTTCCTCCCTTTCTCCACTTCTCCTTCCCCCAATTTTCCACCCTTTCCTCCTCCTGTCCCTGCCTTTGGGCCTGTCCCAACCTGGCCCCTGTGACCATCCTGTCCCCACACCTGCAGCTGGCCCTGTCCCTGTCCCTGTCCCTCTCGTGTCCCCCACTCTATCTGGCAGATGTACCTGTCCTATCCCCACGGCGTTTACCTGCAGATGGCCCTGTCCCTGTCCCTGTCCCCCAGGTGCCATTCCCTGTCCCTGTCCCTGTTCCAGGAGCCATTCCCTGTCCCTGTCCCCCGGGTGCCATTCCCTGTCCCTGTCCCTGTCCCAGGTGCCGTTACCTGCAGATGGCAGACTGGCTGTAGGCAGGGCCCTCGGTGGCCGTCAGGGCCTGCCCCACCTGGGTCTGGGTCAGCCCCAGCGAGAGGCGCCGCAGTTTGAAGTTCTTGGCGAATTCCCGGATTTCCTCCAGGTTGATCCCGTCCTCCTCTGCGCTGGGCGGGGCAGGGGGCTCTGGGGGGACACGGGGGGCTGTGAGCCCCGGGCCAGAGACCCCAGAGCCCAGAGCCAGAGCCTGCTGTGCCCCAGAGCCTGCAGTGCCCAGAAACACAGAGCCTGCAGCGCCCCAGAGCCTGCAGTGCCAGGGGAACCCAGAGCCTGCAGTGCCAGGGGAACCAGAGCCTGCAGTGCCCAGGGAACCCAGAGCCTGCAGTGCCCAGGGAACCCAGAGCCTGCAGTGCCAGGGGAACCCAGAGCCTGCAGTGCCCAGGGGATCCAGAGCCTGCAGTGCCCAGGGGAACCCGGAGCCTGCAGTGCCAGGGGAACCCGGAGCCTGCAGTGCCAGGAGACCCAGAGCCTGCAGTGCCAGGGGAACCCAGAGCCTGCAGTGCCCAGGAACCCAGAGCCTGCAGTGCCCAGGAACCCAGAGCCTGCAGTGCCCCAGAGCCTGCAGTGCCCAGGAACCCAGAGCCCACTCTGCCCAGGGACCCCAGTCCCTGTTGTCCCTTTTCCTGAGGACCCCAGACCCAGTGTTTCCTCCTTATCCCCTTTCCCGTCCCTGTTATCCCTGTTCCCAGTCCCTGCTGTCCCTGTTCCCGTTATCCCTCTGCCCAGGGATCCCAGACTCCCTTATCCCTTTTTCCCACAGTCCCTCTTATCTCCTCCCCCAATTCTTATCTCCTCCCACACTTTGTTACTTCTCTTCCCAGGGATTCCAGACTCCAATATCTCTCTTCCTAAAAATTTCCCGACCCCACTATTACTAAGGGACCCCAGACCCCATTATGCCCCCTCCCAGGGACCCCAGACCCCATTATCCCTCCTCCCAGGGACCCCAGACCCCATTATCCCCCCTCCCCACTGGATCCCAGACCCCATTATCCCTCTCCCCACTGGATCCCAGTTCCTGCCACACCCCTTCCCAGGGACCCCAGACCCCACTATTCCCCGCAGAGCCCACCACCCCCCTCCCAGTGCTCCCAGTGACTCACTGGACACCAGCTGGCTCACGGTGGGGGTCTCGGAGCACGTGATGGGCACCGGCGGTGGCGACACCTTGGTCACGGGGCTGGAGCCCACCCCGGCTGGGGCCGGCTGGATGGGCTGCACCTGGGGGACCGGGGGGACCTGGCTGACCTGGGGGGCCTGGGGGGGACCGGGAAGATGGAATGCTGCCTGGTGAAACTGTGGCAGTGATCCCACCTGGAAAATGGACTGGGATCTTCTCCTGGGAAACTGAGGCAGGGATCCTGTTCTGGGAAATGGGGGCAGGAATCCTGCCTGGGGAAACTGAGGCAGGGATCCTGCCTGGGAAGCGGACTGGGATCTTATCCTGGGAAACTGAGGCAAGGATCCTCTCCAGGGACACTGAGGTCACAGTCTGCCATGTGGAAACAGAGAGTGGGATGGGATCCTGCTGGGGAAACTGAGGCAGGGATCCCGTTCTGGGAAATGGGGGCCAGAATCCTGCCTGGGGAAACTGAGGCAGGGAACCTTCCTGGGGAAACTGAGGCAGGGATACTCTCCAGGGACACTGAGGTCACAATCTGCCATGTGGAAACTGAGGCAGGGATCCCGTTCTGGGACACGGGGGCTGGATCCCAAATCAGCACCTGGGGCCCCAAATCTGCACCTGAGCCCCAAATCTGCACCTGAACCCCAAATCTGCACCTGAGACCCAAATCTGCACCTGGAGCCCCAAATCTGCACCTGAGCCCCAACTCTGCACCAGGTATCACGCCTGGGGCCCCAAATCTGCACCTGGAGCCCCAAATCTGCACCTGAGCCCCAACTCTGCACCAGGTATCACGCCTGGGGCCCCAAATCTGCACCTGGAGCCCCAAATCTGCACCTGAGCCCCAACTCTGCACCAGGTATCACGCCTGGGGCCCCAAATCTGCACCTGGAGCCCCAAATCTGCACCTGAAACCTCACCTGGAGCCCCAAATCTGCACGTGCAGCCCCAAATCTGCACCTGGAGCCAAACTTGGAGCCCCAAATCTGCACCTGAGCCCCAAATCTGCACCAGGTATCACGCCTGGGGCCCCAAATCTGCACCTGGAGCCCCAAATTTGCACCTGAAGCCTAAAAACTGCACCTGGAGCCCCAAATCTGCACCAGATATCAAACCTGAGGCCCCAAATCTTCACCTGGAGCTCCAAATCTGCACCTGGAATGCCAAGTCTGCACCTGATGCCACACCTGGAGCTCCAAATCTGCACCTGGGCTCTCACCTGGAGCCCCAAATCTGCACCTAGAGCTCGAAATCTGAACCTGGTGCCAAACCTGGAGCCCAAATCTGCACCTGGAGCCCCAAATCTGGAGCCCCAAATCTGCACCAGGAGCCCCAAATCTGGAGCCACAAATCTGCACCTGGAGTCGCACCTGGAGGCCCAAATCTTCACCTGGAGCCCCAAATCTGCACCTGGAGCCACACCTGGAGCTCCAAAGGTACATCTTTGGTACTCAAACCCCCAAATCCAAGCCCACTGGGCTCCTGAAGCTGCAGCTGGAGCCCCAAAGCTACCTGGACTTCACCTGTTGCAAGCACTTGTCACACCTGGAGCCCCAAATCTACACCAGGGGCCACATCTGGAGCCCCAAATCTACAGCAGGTGCCACATGTAGAGTCTCAAAGCTCTACCTTATTTGATACTCAAATCCCCCAAATCCAAGCCCATTTCAGAGCCCTCCTGCAGCCACACCTGGAGCCCCAAATCTACCTGGACCTCACCTGTTGCAAGGAGGTGCCACACCCGGAATCCCAAATCTACACCAGGTGTCACACTCAGAGCTCCAAATCTACACCAGGTGCCACATCTGGAAATCTACAGCAGGTGCCACATGTGGAGCCTCAAAGCTACACCTTGATACTCAAATCCCCCAAATCCAAGCCCATTTCAGAGCCCTCCTGGACTCCCAAATCTACCTCGACCTCACCTGTTTCAAGGACATTCCACACCCAGAGCCCCAAATCTACAGCAGGTGCCACATCTGGAAATCTACAGCAGGTGCCACATGCAAAGTCTCAAAGCTACACCTTATTTACACACCTGGAACCAGGTGTGCAGTATTTGATACTCAAATCCCCCAAATCCAAGGCCATTCCAGAGCCCTCCTGCAGCCGCACCTGGAGCCCCAAAGCTACACCAGGTGCCACATGTGGAGCCCCAAAGCTACACCTTCCATACTCAAATCCCCCAAATCCAAGCCCATTGGGCTCCTGAAGCTGCAGCTGGAGCCCCAAAGCTACCTGGACTTCACCTGTTGCAAGCACTTGTCACACCTGGAGCCCCAAATCTACACCAGGGGCCACATCTGGAGCCCCAAATCTACAGCAGGTGCCACATGTAGAGTCTCAAAGCTCTACCTTATTTGATACTCAAATCCCCCAAATCCAAGCCCATTTCAGAGCCCTCCTGGAGTCCCAAATCTACCTGGACCTCACCTGTTTCAAGGACATTCCACACCCAGAGCCCCAAATCTACAGCAGGTGCCACATCTGGAAATCTACAGCAGGTGCCACATGCAAAGTCTCAAAGCTACACCTTATTTACACACCTGGAACCAGGTGTGCAGTATTTGATACTCAAATCCCCCAAATCCAAGGCCATTCCAGAGCCCTCCTGCAGCCGCACCTGGAGCCCCAAAGCTACACCAGGTGCCACATGTGGAGCCCCAAAGCTACACCTTCCATACTCAAATCCCCCAAATCCAAGCCCATTGGGCTCCTGAAGCTGCAGCTGGAGCCCCAAATCTACACCAGGGGCCACAGCTGGAAATCTACACCAGGGGCCACATGTGGAGCCCCAAATCTCTATCAGGTGTCACACCTGGAGTCCCAAATCTACACCAGGGGCCACATCTGGAAATCTACACCAGGTGCCACATCTGGAGCCCCAAAGCTACACCAGGTGCCTCACTTGGAGCCCCAAATCTACACCGGGGGTCACATCTGGAAATCTACACCAGGGGCCACATGTGGAACCCCAAATCTCTATCAGGTGTCACACCTGGAGCCCCAAAACTACACCAGGTGCCACAGCTGGAGCCCCGAATCTCCATCAGGTCCTACATCTGGAGCCCCAAAGCTACACCAGGTGCCTCACTTGGAGCCCCAAATCTACGCCGGGGGCCACATCTGGAAATCTACACCAGGGGCCACATGTGGAACCCCAAATCTCTATCAGGTGTCACACCTGGAGCCCCAAATCTCCATCAGGTCCTACACCTGGAGCCCCAAATCTACACCAGGTGCCACATGTGGAACCCCAAATATCTATCAGGTGTCACACCTGGAGCCCCAAATCTGCACCTCCGATGCTGAAATCCCCCAATCCGAGCCCGTCTGGCTCCTGAAGCCGCAGCCGGAGCCCCAGGTGTGCCCGTTCTCCACTGAGCCCCGCTCCGGCTGTCCGGGCGGGCGGGCGGGCGCGGTTACCTGCGGTTACCTGTGAGATTGGCTACGGGCGGTTTGAAAATCGCCCCCGCAGGTGCCGCCGGCGTCAGTCCCGGGAGCGCGGCGAGCGTTGCTGTGGGAATTGTCACCAGGGCCAGCGCCTGCTGGCCTGTCACCTGACCTGCAATACTGATGGGGATAAGAAGAGGTTGAGTAACTGTCCCTGCCGGAACCATTACTCCTGTCACACCTGTGGCTAAGCTTTCCTGAGCCAACACCTGCGGAGATAAATGAGATTTGAAAGAGAAACACAAATCAACGCCCTGCTCAGCATCAGGGAAACCCCCACAGGGCCCCCCCGCCCGGCCTGGGACACCCCTCGGGGGCAAAGGGGAACCCCCTGGTGAATCCCTCTCTGGGGGGGGCAAAGGGGGAGCCCCCCTGCCTGGTGAGTCCCTGGGGGAAGGGGGACCCGGGGGGGCTCCCTGGTGAACCTCTGGGGGGGGAAGGCAAAGGGGGAGCCCCCCTGAACTGTGAACCCCTCTCCGTGGGGAGATGGGGGGGAGCTCTGTGAACTGGGGGGCACTGGGGGGTGTGGAGGAGCCTGTCTGGAGGGGATAAGGGGGGGTCCCCCCCTTACTGCTGACCCCGCTCTGCTGGGGATGGGGGGCAGAGAGGGGATCCCCTTTACCTCGGGGTCCCCCCTAACTCAGAACCCCCTCTCCATAGGGACACAAGGGGCACCTGGGGCCTCCCTTCCCCCCCAGGTCTGCGTGGGGGGACAAAAGGGGTCCCCCTTACCTGGCCACCCCCTCTCTGCGGACACCTCCCCCGGGGTCCCCCCTGGCCCCCCAGCCGCGGGGGACAGTTACCTGCGGGGTGGCCTGCACGGCCAGGTGTGTCACGCCGGGCTGGCTCGGGGCCGGGCTCGAGGGCACCGGGGTGGGCGACGCTGCTTTGGCTTTACCTGGGGGAGGACCAGGTGCGGGTGAGAGGGAGACACCCAAATTCTGCAGGCCCGGGCAGCGAGCAGCCTCCCCCAGGTGTGCTCAGGTGCGGTCAGAGCCCGGGGAGGGGACGCAGGAGGGGCAGTGACCCGGGCCAGCCGCGCTGTGACACCCGCCATCCCCGGGGTGGCCTCCTCCCCCCCCGGCAGGAGACAGGACGGGACAGGTGACAGGTGACAGGCGCGTGTCCTGCCGGATTGGGACAGAAAGCAGTGAGGAATAACGCGGGGTCCCCCCAAAACGTGAACTGCTGGGGCGAGGGGGGGAGGACCTGCAGCAGGAGCGCGGAGCAGCCCAGGTGACACAACCCGGACACCCCCTGTGCTCCCAGGGAGGGACCCGGGGACGGTCCCGGGAGGCAGAGCCGGGGGGAGCACCGGGAACGATCCCGGGAGGGAGAGAGACCTGCAGCAGGAGCGCGGAGCAGCCCAGGTGACACAACCCGGACACCCCCTGTGCTCCCAGGGAGGGACCCGGGGACGGTCCCGGGAGGCAGAGCCGGGGGGAGCACCGGGAACGATCCCGGGAGGGAGAGAGCCGGGGGGAACCGGGAACGATCCCGGGAAAGGGAGACCCGGGGGGACGATCCCGGGAAAGGGAGACCCAGGGAGAACGATCCCGGGAATGGGAGGCCCGGGGACACCGGGAGTGATCCCGGGAAAGGGAGACCCGGGGGGACGATCCCGGGAATGGGAGACCCGGCGGGCTCCGCTGGGAACGATCCCGGGGAGGGGGGAGGGGGGGGGGGGCTCTCACCTGCCGCC